TCCAGAAGTTGCCCTGGCCGAGCCAATCTCCTGACATGAACCCCATCGAAAACCTCTGGGCCATACTCGACCAGCAAGTCAAGAAACAACTAAAAGAACCAACTTCGAAGAGCGATCTACTCCAAGTTTTGAAGCAAGAGTGGGCGAAAATCCCACAATCTAAAATTGAGGAGATGATCCTCACAATGCCCCAAAGGATCAACGAACTCCATGAAGTGAAAGGAAGATCTACTAGATATTAATTAAATTATAAATATATCAATTCATGTGAATATGACTGAAAAATGTAATTTTTTCTGAAAATGTGGTGTCTATTTACTTGTGACTACACTGTGTAGATACCTATAATTCACTAATGGTATATAGAACTAAGCCTAACCTAAATTTCTAAATTGACTAAACATAAAATTATTTTTGAAATTACAATTGGAAACACTGCTAATAGTAACAGTACTGAACCCTTCAATTAATGACTTATAGTTGTTATGAGTTCAGAATACTTTCTTATAGTTAATATTATAAAACATACTGTGATATTCATCCTAATTTGAATCTAATGGATTAAATTTTAACACTATACTGCATTGACCAACTTAAAATTAACTTTGATCATACTTCAAATAGGCATATTGTCTTGAATATTATGTTATGATAATGTTTGGGTACACACATAAGTGTTGGGAAATGCTACAATAACATAATATTTAAGGGAAGGTAGAAACCTTCCAGATTTTTCCCTCTTATCAACCATGTCTCTCAAATAGTACCACTACTGAAGTATGTTTGATTCTAGTTTAATCTGAGCTTTTGGTCTCCTTGAGAGTTATTCACAATTATTATAATGTGTAATAGATACTTGAAAGTGTTCTAGAAGAAACATGTGAATTACTTATAATTCTTTAATTCAAAATCCAACAGTGTATCATTACTGTTTTTAAGTAGATATTTATCATTAAAGTATCTCTATCTGCTTACAAAAAGTAGAGTAAATCTACTTTAAAATGATCAAAACTATTGTGTTATATTCACAATAAATAATGTCACTGTTTTAAAAAAGTCACTGGCCAAAATTATAACGCAATCAAAATATACAGTGTATATATATGCAAGGAATAACAGTCTATTGTTAGTCTAAAAATCAAGACATAGAATACAATATTTAAAATGCAAGTGTGCCTATGCAGTTTTTTTTAAAAAAAGAGCATTTTATGCACTTACTGAAACTTTTCTTATTGGAAGTGTCTATATATATATTTTTAATTTCTTTCCCTTTATAAAGGTACCTTATACACTTAGTGTAATCTGGATTACTAGTTAACATATTCATGTACTTTTTACTATGTAAAGATATCTGACACACCTGCTGCAATCCAGATTGCTAGTTAAAATACTTGTGTAGATTTTACTGTGTAAGAATACCTCACACATGTACTGCAATATGGATTACCAGTTAGAATACTTGTGTAGATTTTACTATGTAAGGATATCTGTCATACTTACTGCAATCTGGATTTCTCTTTTACACACAGTTAAGTCCTGTTCATTGTTGACAAACATCCTTTTGAGAGCATATCTAACACTGTTGGCTCCCTTCACAAGAAATACTAAAGCAAACCCACCTGAAAAGATATGTAAATTAGCATTATTCAATATGTCAAAATAGGATGAACTTTTAGGTTTCCATAGAATCTCATGAATAATCATATATATATATATACAGACACATTTTAATTTGTACATTTACTTTACATCCTACACTCTGAACTAGTAGTTAGCATGCATGTGCACATTTTACATTGCTAAAATACAGGGATTTTTAAAATAACATACAAAGATTTTTCTCTCTAAAAATATAAAGTAAAATGTGGTTTAACAAACCAATATGTATATGAAATAGCAACAAGAAGTTCTTTGTAAAATCCACTGTAAATCCCAGTCTTCACCATAAAGCCATTATAGGTAATTCCCAGTAATCACCACAAAGCCATAATAGATATTGCCTGTGGTAACAGCACCCAAATGTGTTGGGGATATCCAATTTACAAAACAAAACCACATGCCAATGTTAAACTAGTCAACAATCATGGAAAATCAATTAAGGGTATGGAGTTGAGTGCTTACACCCACAACATCTTAACTCCTACTGCCTTTCACTGTCTGCAACCAGTTGTGGGAAGGCAATTAACTGAAAAGTTCTAATTTCTTAAGTAGAAATGAAACAAAACCACCCTAATATATTTCTACAATATATTATGTTACTCCCAACCTCTGCTCTTACAAAAGAAATGAAATAATAAAAGATTTTACATAAAATGATCTTAAAAGGAAATGAAATAAAATGATCTTAAATAGAATTACAAGCCCTACCTTAACATTTCTTACATAGTTCATACTCCCAACCTCCCCCCTTTCTCTTGAAAATATATTCAAGTATAACATGTGAAAGCCAAGACATGCCCAGCTACTTGAAGTTAGTCTTTCCATCCCAGTATACTAAATAAACTTATCATTTTAGTTTTAGCTACTTAAAGATAGCTAACTACATTGTTAGCTACAAATATTTTTGCTACAAGTTTATAAGCCCTTACAAACTGTTTTTTTTTTTTTTTTGTGTGTGAAAAAATAAAGAATGATAACAAATACAGGTTTCAAAGGTTCCCCTGATGTACCAGTAATATAAATAACAGTAACTACAAACTGAGTTCAAGTCTGGATTATGTAAATAACTGTCGTTTCTCTGCAAACAAATTTCAATGACTTAGATACAAATTTTACACCAAATCATGCAAATGTCTCTAAAAAGAAAATGATAAGAACAGCACACCCATTTCAATGAAGTCTTTAAAATATACAGATTAACCTGAAACTTCTTTCTTCATTTCTAAACATCCTGAACAGATGTGGAAGTTTGCATTAAAAAGTTTAACAAAGAATTCCTTTCTTTAATATCAATCACATTAGCAATCATATATACATACAAGTATAGTAATCCATCATGTACAGTACAGTATACATTAAATCAATGTAAGAAATCTATGTATATTTAGTGTAAAAAGCATGATATCATAGCAAAAAAAAAAGGAAGGAAATGCAGAAACATGTGCATATCCTTTCAAGTACTAATTAGCTTCTTTTTCCAAACATTTATTTGGATCATTTACAACTAAAAAAAAGAAGAAATCTGTTGCACAATTTTAAATAATCTACAATAATATTATGGGAATTAAATATATTAAAACACTATAATCACTTGTATGTCAATTTTGTTAGCTCCATATAAAATAAAAACTGCTGAGGTAAACCTAATATATCATGCAAAATCATTATTGCTTTGATTATGACCTACTTACATTGCAAGTCGGTATGCAACTCTAGTGAAAGTTCTTTACAAAAATGAAACTAGTGGATGAAATTCTTTTAAATTTGAGATGAAAGGTACATGAAAAGTAATTTTCATTTTAAGATTAAAAATATTTTTAAGTATCAAAAAATTTTCAAATTTCACATGTTCAGATAGTTATTAAACATTTTTTAATGAAAAAACTTTATATTTTCACTAACAAATATCTGTATGGGTTTGGTTGATTTGACCAATCTCGTAACCATCATAAAAAATTAGGAAATATAAATTATGCCTTTTTCATCCAAGAATGACTACAAATTATAACACAAAAACATAAATGTTTAGACTAAATAGCTTAAGTCTCATAACATTACACATATATATTTATTATTTTTATTATACTGACTTTTCAGCCATGCCTGGCTAGCAATACAGAAGTTACAATGATGTGGT